AATTTAACAATTAATATATTATTTTAATTTACAAGACATAACTCGAATTGAAATGCCATCTTGAGCAGCATACTTTGCTCATTTACAGCTATTGTGAGCATAAGAGAATTTCCATTGTGGTAATTCGGATTTGTTGCCATTGTTCCAGAGTTTACATAACTTGTTGACAGTCTTTTGGTTGGCCTACAGCTTTAGTCAATGAAATTGGAGCAAGAAATTGGTTAAAGCTGACCCAAAGCTGAAGGACAGCCAGACAGACTAAGCAAACACAAAAGGGCAGGCAAGAGGCACACACACACACACACATACACACAGGTGCAAAAAGTAAAGACTAAACGTAAACACAAGAGTTTTACCTTCATTAAATATACGTATAAATATTAGACATGCTTCAGGATCTACAATATATACTTATACATTCGAATGTGTGTGTGTGTGTGTGTGTGTGTATGTTTTTTATGTGGCAATCATTTTGAAGGTCAAATTACGAAATCACCCAAATGATGTTGCCAGCGCACAGGATAACATAATATATGTATATACGTATTATATGTATATATATTAAATGGAGCAAAAGTTGTAACAAACTTTTGAGCTGCCGAATTGTGTTGCACATTTAAGGCCCCAACTAGGTAGAGTGGGCGTGGTGTCTGCTCTGATGTGAAGGACATCAGACGGAGTGCCACAAAATTGTTTTTGAACTGCAAAAACTTTTGTTGCCAGCTCTTGCTGGCCGGCAAGCGGGCAGGCGACTTGACCTACTGGCAGCTTGTGCAAATTTATTTGTTTTTGGCAACTGCAGATGTTTTTTCTTCAGGATAACAAAGGATGTTGACGTTAGCTAGGTGCTACGAGACGTATGCGCAAATTTGTGTGTGTGGGTGTGCGTGGGTGTGAATTTGTGCTTGTGTCTAAAGTGAATTTATGTGTATATTTGAAGCTTTGAGTTTAATTTGAATGATTGAAAACAACAATATAGTATATTTGTATAGCACTTAAGGTTTGTAGTTTCCTAGTTTCATTTATGTTGTTCATTTACTTGGCAAAATTGAGTTTTATTAACTGTGAATAGAGGATATTATGTGTTAAATATAAATACATGTGTAAATATAGATAATATAAATAATTTGTAGCCAGTTGGCTTAAAGGCAATTCATTTTGGTTTTGAAGGCTTACTTTTCTTACTTTCTTACTTTTGACACACCTGCCTTTGCATTTATAAAATTTATATCAAAATAATATCAAAACAAATGCATACGTTCATGTAAATAATTATTTGCAAATATAAACATTAGTTCCTTATTGAGAAGAGAAATATTTGTTTATTACCTAGAACAGTCTCTTTATTTTAATGATGATTAGAACATTATTAACACTTACCAGAAAGACCTAATATTGTAATTCACTTATTGTTAAATCTTAAATTATTCTTTTATAAAAACAAAAACAAAAATTTAAATACAAAATTTAAATGAAAATTCATATACATCTTATAGGCAGAGAAAATAAAACCTGGATATTAAATATTACATTTTTATTAAATTTTAAATGAAATGTAATATAATTTTTTGCTTTCATAAAATTACAATTATCTACAA